GAAGAAGAAGAAGAAGAAGAAGAAGAAGAAGAAGAAGAAGAAGAAGAAGAAGAAGAAGAAGAAGAAGCCCGTAAGAGTTCTGGCCCAACCCCAGACACCTGAGCTCAGTGCTACATGGGCTTAGAGCACCTCTCATGCCACCTTAAACTCCCAGGCCCAAATGCTGAAATAGGGCTTGGAGTTCCACCTTACCCTGAGGAGTCTGAGTTGTCACAGGCTGAGAGTTGTGGCCTATAAGAGAAAGCAAAACACACAGAATGATATGGGACTTCTGCCCAGTAACCCAGGCCCTATGGCTGTTCAAGCCCTCCCACCACCACCATGGTGTTCAAGCCCTAGGCCCTATGGCTATTCAAGCCCCACCACCACCACCACTGGAAGGCAGACACACCGAGCAGAGGGCTAAAGGAAGTCATGGAGCTGGCTTCTTCTGAACTGTGACTCAGTTCCACTATCACCCCAACTTCATGGTTCCAAGGCCAGGGTCCTTTCCAATCTCTTCAATCCTCTATAGGCTCCACACCAACAAAGTTGAGGAAAGAGTTTTTTTAAAAAAAAAAATGTATTTGGTTGTTGCAGGGTCTCACTACATAGCTTGGACTCATAGCGATCCACCTGTTTTCAGCCTCCCCAGCACTGGGATTACAAGTGTACACCATTAAACCCAGACCCTGGCCAGCTCAGCCCACATGGCGTGTGGTGCTAGGGATTGAACCATGGTCCCTGCACTTGCCTAAGTTTACCTAAGCAGGTGCTTTGGCCTGCTGCGCTATCTCACCAGCCCTAGGGAAAGGTTTTTTAGTGACGTGCCTCAAAACAGAGGGCCAGTGGACCTCCTGTGTCTGGACAAAAACCCAAGACTCCAAGTCTGTAAGTTTATGTTTATCCTGTGCCACTGCCAGGCCATTCCTTTTCCCCTGTGAGATCATCATCCTGGCTCAGCCTTAAGGGGCAGGAAGGGGACAGTGGGGAGGTGAATAAAATACAGTTCAGATTTGCTTGCTTTCTTTTTTTCTTTCTTTCTTTCTTTCTTTCTTTCTTTCTTTCTTTCTTTCTTTCTTTCTTTATTGGAAGCAGGGATTGAACTCAGACCCTTGCACTTGCCAGGGAAGCGCTTATTCTACTGAGCCATCTCCCCAGCCCTACAGTTCATGTTTGTATGAAGTTATCTCTGCCCCTCCCCCCAGCAGGAGGTAGGGGCTTGCCCTGGAAGCAAGTTCTGAGCTATGTACAAGAGGTGAGGAAGCTCTAGATGGAGCTGCCAATTTATTCTCACAGGCAGAATCTATGGGGAAATGATCATTCTTGGCCAAACCCAGAGAAAAGTCAGCAAGAAGCCCCTCTCCCCCAACCATCACTAGTAGTTCTGTATGTGTGTGGCTGTCTCTGGGTGTCTATGCAGATGTGTGCATGCTCATGCGTCCCACGGTGTGTGTGGGACCTGAAAGGTCAGGTTGTGTTTGCTCACTTTCCACAATGAAATCATTCTTGAAACCTGCGAACAATGTGAAAGGAAAACAGCGTGGGGAAGTGGAGCCGCCCAGCTGGGTTCCCGTCCTTCCACTCAGTTCAACCTCTCTTTGCCGGGGAAGCACTAAGCCTAGGACAGAGGTGGCTGGATGCCAGGGGCCCACCCAGCCCATGGCAGCCTACGTGGTCTGTTTATTTTTCTTAAACCACTGCTCTGCTCCATGGGGTTATCATTTGGATAGTGTAGAATTCATTGTTTGTAAACCCAAGCTTGCCCAAGTCCTGGGCCATGTTTTTCCAGGTGCCATCTCTCAGAACCTCATTTCTTGTGGGTAGAGGGTTCAGAGTAGAGTTAAAACTTGAAGGAGCTCCCAGCCATAGAGAGAGCCCTTTCTTTCTGGGTATGGTCATGGGGAAACCCCTTCTATCCAAGTCATATCCTAAACACTCTTAGTTACTTAGATACCATGGCCCAGAAGTATCTAAGTGCTGTAGTGATGGGAAGTCACAGTGAACCGCCTTCCTGGGGAAAAAAAAATGATCTAGCACTATGGGAGGCTTTCCGAAGTCACATCAAGTCTCAGTTGTCTATCTTTTCTTTGCCTCCTGTCATTCCCCCTCCACAACTTGTCACCAGTAAAGATTCCTTTGTGGTTTGGGGAGGGACTTAGGGAGTAGGCTGGGTCCTGGACCAGTGGGCATGTAGACACGCAAGAGCTCTGGCCACGAGAATTCTTGATTTTTCAAGTTTCCACTTCCTAACCTCAACCTGTTTCATTTCCTTCCCATCTAACTCTCCATCTCCCTGTTTCCTCAGCAGCATAGTTAAAAATCATAGATTTTAATTAATTAATTAATTAATTAATTTTGTGATGAAGGGGATTGAACCCAGGGTCTCCACATTGAACTTTGTGCCTCAGTCTGAGTACCATTTTTTATTTTGAAACAGGGTCTCCCTAAAATGCTGAATTGCCCATGTGGGCTTGAATTTTTGATCCTCATGCCTCAGCCCTCCAGAGTGCTAGGGTTACAGGGGTGAGCCACCATGCCCAGTTTAAAATCATAGATTTTAGAATTTGACAGTTTAGAATAAAATCCTAACTCAGTCATGCAGTGTCCAATTAGGGCTCAGATTTCCGTTCTTTAGAAAGCAATTGAAGGGCCAGCCAAATAACTCAGCGGATTAAAGCGCCTGCAAGCAGGTACAGGGGCCAGGGGTTCAATCCCTGGGCTGGCTGTGCCAGCCCTGCCCCCAGGGCACACTGAGCTAGCAATTGAGACTGGGCATGGTGGCGTGCACCTGTAATCCCAGCTCTCAGGAGGCTGTAAACAGGCGGATCACTATGAGTCCGATCTAGCAGTGAGACCCTGAACACCCTATAGACCCTTCCCTAAAATATGAAAAGAAAGAAAAAAAGAAAGAAAGCAAGAAAGCATTTGAGAGGCTAGGGATGTAGGTTGGAGACAGAGCACATGTGCTTAGAGGGACAGGACTTTGGGGTGGATCTGTAGCACACACACACACACACACTCACACACACACACACACACGAAGCAAGTATCAGTACTTCACCAAGTATGAGGGAAAGAAAATGCATGTAAAGCACTTAATACAGTGCTCGGTTACTGCCGGACATTACATTTTTGCCCGGTGCTGACTCTGTGTGTACACTTAGGTCTCTTTGCTGGCATGAACATACTCAAAGTATTCCTCAGTCCATCTACACAAAGACACCCTCCCAATCCAAGCCCTCCTGTACTTTCTGCTGCTTTCAGTACAGCCTCATAAATCTGTCACAGAACACTGGCAGTGAGGAATGGCCAAAGGGAAGTTACTGCCCTGTGAGTCAGAGTCCTGGACTTCTCATGGTTCCCAGCAACTGTGCCCTAATGAGCGGCCCGTGCACTGGCTGAGCCCCAAGAGCTGCTGCTTTCACGGCACCTCCCTAGCAGTCATCTCAGCTCACAGCCTGGGTGAGAATGTTATTCACACTCTGGGGCCAACCAGTAGTGCTTTAGGCCTCACCTGAAGTCCTCTTGTGATTTGAGATGAAAGTCAGCATTAGGAACCCCTGGGGTGTTATTCCTCACAGGAAAGAAGAAAAAAGACCACCTCTAAGGCCTAAGATGCAGACAGTTCTGGGAGGAGTAGTCTGTAAGGTGACTGTGGCACCCAGGCCAGCCTCACATCCCCTACAAGGAGCCTCACACCCAGCCAGTGGCTTGCCAGGTCTCTGGAATGTCCCACAAATGTATCCCTGTTTAGCTCTGCCTGGAAATGCCCATCCAGCCATCCCCTTCAAGGAAATGCCCTGGGATTTCCCATACCCTGACAGCCTCTGCGGTGGGTGTCCCAGAGGTGGGAGGCTGGGCACTATGGATCAGGCGACAGACGCCCTCTTACCTTGGAGTGTCAGCAAGCTCAGGATGGTCCAGCACAGCCGTGCAGCCCGGGCGGTGCCCATGTCAGCTAGCTGTGTGGCCGGTGGGCAGCCACTCAGGGCAGGCTCTGTCCATCGCGGAGAGCAGTTGGAGTGCAGGGGCGGGGTGGGATGGGGGCCGGCTCTCCTGGAGCTTCCTGTCGAAGAATAGAAGGAAACAGATTGGGACTGGCTCCAGGGGCCCTGGCTCAGCCCACAGGAGGATGTGAGGCTGAGCAGAGAGCTCGGATCTACTCCAGGAGGCCCAGGTGGCAGGCTGGTGCCATCTCTGTACCCACTGAGGAGTCCCTCTGTTCCCTTGTGCACCACCTGGTGCTTTTCCTGGAGCTGCTGTTTCAGATCAGGTCCTCCTCTAGCTGGACTGAGCTGAAGCTCGAAGCTCGGCCTACCAGCTGCCCACACACTGTGGACTCGGAATTCTCCACATTCTTCTACTGGGGTTTGCATCCGGGTGGGGCACCCAGTGTCTTCTAGGGAGGCCTGGGGAACACTGAACATTGCTGTTATTCCTCAGGGAAAGGCAAGAGGGCCACATTCCGGTTAGGCATCCTTCCTCCGACTCCTGGATCTGTGGCGTTAGGTGTTGCCTGTGCTCCTGCACAACCTGTCCAAAGTCTCCTACGAGCATTTATCTATATCCCATGATATCCTCTTCTGTAGCTGCAGGCCAGCAGTGTTACTTTTTCCAGTATATCTAGGACCAGGACAAAGCCTGCCAAATATTAGGTCCACATGTGTTTTTACTGACTTAAGCTCAAAAAATGCAAGTATTGGGGTGGGCGAGACTGCTCAGCAGTCTAAAACGCCTGCTTAGGCAAGCTTAGGCAATCACAGGGACCTCGATTTAATTCCCAGCACCACATGCTGCACCAGCCCCACCCCCAGGGGAAAAAAATGTAAGTATGAACAGTGCAGTGGCCTACATCTGTAATCCCAACACTTAGGAAGTTGAGGCAGAAGGATGGCCACAAGTTCAAGACCATCCTGAACTACAGAGCAACACCACCCCGCCCCCACCTCCCACCCCATCTTAAATCCCAACAATCAGGAGGCTGATTGCCAGGATTCTGAGGCCAGCCTGGATTACATAGTGAGACTCTGTTGTGAACGCACGAGACAGAGAGAGAGAGAGACAGACAGAGAGAGAAAGAGAGAGAGAGAGAGAGAGAGAGAGAGAGAGAGAGAGATTGAGATTCTAATCATACATATAACAAACAGTGCAGTGTCACACACTGGAAAATATGTAGACTAGAAAAAAATTCACAACAATGATAGGATTAATATTAATGAGGAAGGCTTCTGTGTAAGATTGAGCCTATATGCTTACACTTGGTTCTTATTTTTGTTCCTTTTTTTTTTTTTTTTATAGTTTCTCACCGTATCAGGCTGGGCTTGAACTCACTATGTGGCTCCAGCTGGCCTTGAACTAGCAATGATCCTCAGCCTCCCCATTGCTAGGATTATAAGCATCTACCATCATTTCCAATATCTTCTTTTAAGCAATTACAAATTTATAGAAAATTAGATAGTATGTCATATAGACTATTTCCCCAGAATTATTTAAGAATAAGTTACCAGGGGCTGGGGAGATGGCTCAGTAGGATAAGCGCTTGACTGGCAAATGCAAGGATCTGAGTTCAATCCCCGTTTCTGCAAAAAAAAAAAAAAAAAAAAAAAAAAAAAAAGTTATCAGCTGGGTATCACAGTATTTTTTTTTTTTTTTTTTTTTTTTTTGTAATGTCAGCATTGGGATGCTGAGATAGGAAGATTCCATGTTTGAGTCTTATCTGGGAAACTTAGCAAGAACCTCCCTATATCAAAATAAAAAATAAGCTGGGTGTGGTGGCACATGCCTGTAATCCCAGCACCTGTAATCCCAGGCTGAGGCAGGAGGATCATTGTGAGTTTGAGACCAGCCTGAGCTACAAAGTGAGCTCAAGGCCAGACTAAACTGCACAGTGAGACACTATCACAAAAAGACAATAAATAAGTAAATAATTAAAATGGCTGGTGATATAGCTCAGTGCTGTATCCAATCTCAATTATAGTACCACCGCTACAATGCTACCCCATTACCCCGAGTAGTTTAGTGTGTATTTTCAATGAATAAGGAAAGTCTCCTACATAATCACAATACAATTATCAAAATTTAAAAAATAATATTTTTTTGTTGTTGTTGTTTTTTGCAGTACCAGGGATTGAACTCAGGACCTTGCACTTGCCAGGCAAGTGCTTATTCTGCTGAGCTATCTCCCAGGCCCCTAAAAAATAATATTGCTATATTATCTAATCCTCAAAGTTTGGTAGTTCAAATTTTGACAGTTGTTCCAATGATGTACTTTATGACAGAAAGATCCTATCCAGATTTCTCATTGTGGGTCTCTTTATCTTCCTTAGATCTTGAATAGTTCTTCAGTTTTGCCATCATTTTCATGACCTAGACAATTATTTTATGTGGTAATTACTGAGCCAGCCCCAAGATCTTGACACTTCTGCAAGTTATAATTTGGTAATTTTATAGAACGTCTCTCGAGACCCGGAGCGCAGGCCCGGCGAGTGAGTGAGACGACCCAGGCCGCGGGGTCCTGAACAGACCCAGAGCACAGGCCGGCGAGTGAGTGAGATGACCCAGGGCTGGGTGGGATCCTGAATAGACCCAGAGCGCAGGCCCAGCACAGAACCCTTCAGCAGAACTCCCTACAAGGAGGCTAGAGGCAAGACCCACCCAGCTGATTCAGGAGCAGAACATCTTGCCAGAGAGACACAAAGGGTTCAACTCTAACGCCTGCAGCAGAAAGAAGTAGAGCACAGCAGCCAGATCCAAACAACACCCACCTGGAGGAATCCGAACTTCATAGATCC